ATTTTTCATTTACCCTTTCGTTCGCGGTTTTTCGGTTTTCTTCATTTTTCCGCAGTTGTTTATATTCGGTTGAGCGGTTTTCGTCGTTTTCGTCCCTTTTTTCGGTTTCTGATGGGAATTAACGTTTCACTTCTTTTGGTAACAGGACAAAAAGGCCGGTAAAACCAGAACACCTTTTCCCAGGCTCCGCTAAAATTCTCACTCCCTAGTGATCCAAAGTTACTGCTACAAGGCCGGCTTCACAGGACTTAGCTATTCTCCACAGGTTTTGTGCCTGTGCAATTTTGGGTCCTCAACAATAACGGAGTTACAGTATGATCTTAGACCACTGGAGTGTTGACCCCAAGTTCGGATCGGATCGGGGAGGGTATAACTGACCATGCATTCAAGGCTGGGTGAACACTTAACGCCAGCCTCGTCCCTAGGAGGTCCCCGCCCATTTTTTAAATGAAAAGCCCTGGTGACGAGGTTGACTAAACGCATATCTAGATATGGTAAACGGTAAAAATGTATATTGAATGTAAAACTAGACGAAAAAACACATTTAAAAAATATTTACTTACACACGTACACTTGCTCATTTCAGGTATAAACATTGAGCTACAATTCTGTTTGGAACACTACAGACAAGTTACACTAGTTTCAGTTCCTCACAAGACGCATCACTGGCCATTCTATGATTGCCCGGATGAAAGAGGTGAATGAAGCTGATGACGTATAAAACAACAACAACGTCGATGGCGCCGAGGAAACTAAATTTCCGTTCTATAAGTTTGTTCGATCACATATAATCACAGGCGTTCAGTTACAACGTGTGATTGTGTGTTGGAAGAAAAGGACAGCTTAAAGGATTCTTGCATTAAGTACAAAATTTTAGTTTTGTCGACTATGAAAAAGTGAACTTGACACCGTGAGTGTTTGAAGCGCTAGCCCTTCGTAAGAGCCAATCATGGACTAGGGTCTACTATACCGGCCTCACTATAGCTGGATCTTCCTTGTCTTGATCGAAGGGGAATCGACGACATGCCGTTCCAACCGGCAACAAAATACAAACCAACCGTGGAATAGTAGCGACGAGGCTTTATGCGATTGTGGATTGTACTTGGTGCGATTGTGGTAATACTAAATAGGGTTCCTGTGAGTGCTTCGATGATATAGTATTCGATCTGATCATACCCAAAAACCAAATGATGCCGGAAATGCGCAAAGAATACCTGTTCCTACACGACAAGCTGTTTTTTAAAAAGTAAATAGGCCGTGAAGCTGATATAGATGATTTTTAAAAATATATATTTGGAAATTCTAAGGTTTTTTTAAGGATACCTTTTCATCGTTCAAAATTTTATGCTTAGCTAAAGATATATATGAAACATATATTTTAGTTTTGTTTTTTAAACAAATTCTACGAATTTGAAATGTCGATACCCTTTGTCATTTTGACAAAAGTCAAAACGTGCTTGTGTATATTGTCCAGCCAAAAAAATAAACGATAAACGCCTGTTGGTTATAATAAAAGCTGTCCTCGGCTTCCAGCACATGTAGTCAGACCTTTTTATAAGAGTTTGGTTTCAGATTATAAAGACCTTAAAGTAGACATTTATAATTATTAAGAAAGAAAGTATTGCTGAATTTACTGACGCTTGATAACCTGAGAAGTTATCTACGTGTTCTCAAGTCCTCCGGGGTTATGAGGTACCGCGGGATGTTTGGACGCCGAAATCTTATTTTTCCCAGAAAGGGCGTTTCAGAATAAACGTAAAATTTCAAAATAATGTCTATACAAAAAGGAACTTGTACAATTAAAGATAATGACTATTACAAGCGGAAATTATCTATAATAAGGGATACAGATAAAAACAGAAGTACTAAACAGGGTTGTCAAAAGTAGCCGGCTGGCGGCGAAAATCGCCAGCTGAATCGCCCCCTGCTTGGTTAGTATCGGCCGGCTACTCTGCTTGGCATTTCTTTACGGATGGCGTTTTTTAAATAAAATATCCCTGGCCGGCCGCTTACTTTGACAACCCAGCCATCTACTACAAAACTTTCTGACAAGCCTGCTAAATAATACGATTTTCATTGTAAGGTGTTGAAATATTCAAGCTACTTGGAAAAAAATGTTCTGCCATTTTCTTCTTCACTATAAACCAGGAAATTACCTTGACGAACCTACAACTACCGACCTATTCCAGTCAGGGCGTGAACTATCAAAATGCTCACCGGCAACATTCATATTGCTTTCAAAGGGTAAAATATACTCGCAGTCAAACTATTACATCCACAGATGTATTCGAAGAGCCGTGTAAAGATGTTAGTACATACTGGAGGGCAAAACAAGCAAACTAAACTTTATGGTCTTGCAATAAGGATTGTAAACTTACAGAGAGTGCAAATAAGGAATAAAGATTACAGAAGTGAATGCTAAAAACAAGCATGAATTTTAAATACATGTGCCCTCCGCTTGCTCTGATTTCATCGCGTTAAATCAGCTTGTTTTGAATAAATAAACCATGCATGCTCTTATTAAGAGAAACGATCAGGAAAACAGCTGATTTCCGAACAAAACCAAGTGAGGGTTATTACACCACATCACTTAATCCGTTTTTTTGCAGATCAATAATTGGCCTGAGATAGGACTCAAAATAAATCATAAAAGTAGTCAAGATTATTCTCTGTTGAACTAGTTCAATACATTTTTACAAACGTTTGTGCGTGGGTGACGTGAGTGCTTTTGTTTGCAAATGTACGTAATTTTTTATTCCCTCTGTCAGCATTTTCGCTTTAGCTTTTATGCTGCTCTGAATGATGTACAAATTGTGGATAACATGTAAATAAGTGAAAATATGTAATATGTGTATATTACCGAGCAGTAATGGAAAACGACAATGACCTGTGAAAGGATCAGCTTTAGCATTAAAATGATTAAGTGAATATAGTATCCAAAGAAAAGCTGATATCTTTATTGACTGTTAATTATGTAAAAAATTACAAGCTACATTTTATTTGCTTGCTTTATGCACTAAATATTTATGTAATTGATTGGTATTGAGTTGCTTAAAGAAGACAAGGGTTTAAAAAACAATAAAAGTTACAAACTATTTCAGTATCTACGGTATGTACAGTTGATGCGCTTAATGAAGGCGAAACAGCTGCTCATGGCTGCCATTGTGGGGGCGGATCCAGGAATTTTTTATTGGGGGAGTGGGTCCAAACTTTGGTTCAGAAAGGACTGTTGAACTTTTTTTGTGGCAAGTTATTTCTTCCCCACACTCCCTCCCACCAGTCGCAGTTGCACAGATCATAGGAGG